ATGGTCACCATCGCACGCCTCTGCTTCGGCCTCAACATGCTCACCACTTTACCCCTCGAGGCTTTCGTCTGCCGCGAGGTCATGTTCAACTACTTCTTCCCCGGCGAGCCCTTCAACATGCACCTCCACCTCATCTTCAGCTCCGCCCTCGTCGTCTCCGCCATGGTCATGAGCCTGCTCACCTGCGACGTCGGCGCCGTCTTCGAGCTGGTGGGCGCCACGTCCGCCTGCGCCATCGCGTATATCCTCCCCCCGCTCTGCTACATCAAGCTCACCACCCGCTCGTGGAAGACGTACGTCGCCGCCGCTATTATTGTGTTTGGCACCGTTGTCATGGTGATCAGTCTCATACAGGCGGTCGCCAAGATGATTAGCAGTATGTTGTAACCCCCCTTCCCCTTGACCAAAATCACACCGTTCCTCAGGATCATCTGGTCAACTAACTAAAGCCTCAGGTGACGGCGGACCTGCAAAGTGCATGTAAACCACTGTATGATTAAAGAACAAAAAAGATGAAGAAGACGGGGTTGTTTGTATCGTCTAGAGTAAGAGTAGGAAACCAGCTAGCCGCCCCCATCGCGTTCCAGGCGCGCTGTGGAGAGACGGGAGAGAATGGGTTATAGACAAACCCCGGAACCGTTGTATAACACCGTGGTTTTTGGTAGACCAAGTAAGGTATTCAGGGTATTTAAACATTATGGTGTTCTCTTTTTTTCGTTTTGTGTTAGACGCGACAATTGGGATTGGCGTGGGAATTGCCAAAAGAAAAACAGTATTTTTCTTAACAAGACGGATTTCGCAACTTTTTCTCTGTCGAAACGTGATGACTTACGAGGTATACACAATCACGTAGTGATGTATGCACTACGGAGCATCGACGAAATGATATTGACGCCACTTTCTGGTTTAGCCATTTTCGGATGTTGAACTCCCTGCAAGCAGAGATGAAGATCTTCACACTTAAAATCGCTCTCTCCAAATAAGAAAGCATTTCGTAGTGTCGGCCGATAAGACATCTACATGGGAGCATAAAGGCATAGAGAGACTCAACACTTGAATAAGCAACATGAAATAGAGACAAAATATAGCCGCAAAGAATCAGACGCTTTTATTTACCATTACAAGTTATATCTATATCTACAATGGCCGAATTGTAGGGGCCCGTCTGTGTCGGTCCCCAGGGGGTATCATGTGCACATAACCATCCAATTTCCCATCCATATCTGCAATCCCAAGATCGCCGCACTTGAACAAAACTTAAACTCCTCAAAAGAATCCCAACATAGCGAACAAGCATAAAGATGCTGCAGCGGCCACATTGATGTGATTGATAGAGGCATATGATGCAGCACCTGACTGGGCTGCGGGTGAGGTCTGCGCAGCGGCGCTCCCTGTGGCAGTCTCATGGCCTCCCAAACCAAGGGCGGGACCGCTCGTCGGCACAGCTGACACAACAGTCGTTTGGCCAGGGTTGTTAACCACTGCCGGTGTGGCCGAAGCAATTGCGGTGCTAGTTACTGGTGGAGGGTCGACTCTAGTCGCAAATCCTAAAGTGATAGCGGTTAGTATCGAGGGTGATGAGATGAACAAGATAGTGGCGACTTACCTATGCGTTTTTGGTCCTTGTCGAATACAGCATAGACGTTTTTGAGGAAGACGTCTCCTAAAAGCCAGGCTCCCGCTACGACCTCATGGCCGTAAATGTTGCTGGTGCATGTACCGTCTGCTGCAGGGCTGGATCTCCAGTCCTTAGGGGAGATGACATAGCTAACACCCGAGAATGTGTATGTTACATCCTTGTTACTGTCGCACGGCACCTTGTACGTCGTGCCATCGTCCGAGGTAGATCCAGGAATGTTCTTATGGAAGGCAGCGACGTCGCTCTGAGGTCCAAAGACGTAAGAGGTACCGGTGTCAACATAGGCGAGCTTGCCAGCTGCGCCAGACTTGAGGCCGTCGTACTGAATGCCATCAAGAGGGATTGCCCAGTCTCCGTTGTCGTTTCCAACTCCGGTGTAAGTGATGTTGCCAGTGTACTTTTCGGTGTTACAGGTACCAAAGCTGATTTCGCTCGTGTTCGGTCCATCAGTCGCTCTGTTGAGATAGACACAGAAAATGTTTGCAGGAAGTTGGCCGGAACTCTTGACAACTTGCATGAAGTTCTCGGTCTCGCCACCCGCCATGGAAAGTCCCAATATGCCGTCGAAAGGGAAGTGGTTGAAATCATCAGACGTCTCGTTGGCCACGCCGAACTGGAAGTCAAACTTCATGCCCGCAAAGGAAACAGTGTCGGTGATCTTGTCGCCTTTGACTGAACCCGACCCGTAGGCGACAGCAAATGTCTCCCCCTTTGGTTTGTACGTGTCCGAGTCCGTAGGGCCGTATGAACCATGCTTCTCGCAAGCCGACGATGTGCAGGAGCTGCCCATAACCCAACTAGTTCCAGCTCCGGTGTCGATGAGCATCCATAGAGGCTTCTCCTTGGAGCCTAATTTGACCTGAGCAAAGTAGGAAAAGTCGGTACCATCCTGAGCGACGGCGGCTGCGGTCTTGAGAGTGGTGTCCGCCGCTGTGACAATGCGATACAGGCTCTGTCTCTTAGACTTGGATGCCCTTTCTCGGATAGCAGCGGACTGGAATCTCGCATACTTGCGGGAAAGACGTTGTACCTCACGGGCAACTCGTTCGGATTCGGACTCTTCAGTCTACAAGGCTTTACGTTAGCGACCCTGGGCTCAAAGTTTCATGTTGTTCTTTGGTGAGTGGTTTGACCAGGATCACAAAGCCACTTCTGAATATTCATCAGGATATTTCGACTTACCAAAGATTCCTTTGTAATTTGAGGGCCGACATGGAAGCCGGGAAAGTTGATGGCCTTGATGGCATCGACAGCATCAGATCCAAGGGCATCTTGATCCTTCAATTCCCTCTTGTGGGAACTGCATCCACCTTCGAATGGACAATGCTCAGATACGTCCCAGGGAAAGAAGGCGTGAACAGACGTCAAGAACAGGGACAGCTGGGCGAGGACCAAGGTAGAACGCATTATGCCTTGGCTGTGGCTGGCAAGTCGAAGTGACACTCGGTATGGATACGACGAATGGGCGATGCAAAACGTAAAGGTGTCGAGGAGTAAGGTAGGCGCTTTCAAGTCTAAGTCTGGCGGTGATTCAACAGTGCTTGACGTGGTGAATAAACTCAAGGCAGCTTATGACAGGTGATTGACAATCGAAAGACGCTGGACGCTAAGTGATTCGCTATACAGACGATTTCGGCAAATGTAAGCTCGAGCAAGCAAGCGGGTACCAGACTCCGCGATTTCGGACAGATTATGTTATTAGGGATTAAGTTGAGCGCATTGAAGGCCGGTAGAAGCTGGACGGAGAGCCGTCAGGAGTCGGGTCGTTTACGAGAGGAATGCGTAATCTTTTGATAGTAGGCTTGGCTAGTGGTTCTGAAATGCTGTACGCGGGCCGGTTGAACCAAGGGTGAGACAATGGAATAGAGGGGCGGATGATCGAGGGCGGCGGCGGCGTGGAGCTGCAGAGACACGATGCAAGACAATGAGACAAGTGCAAGGGTGAAGAGCCGAGGACAAGGGACTAGCAGAGGCGATGAGAGGTTCTGCTGTCTGTCTATATCTGTGACCAAAGACAAAAACGAAAAGGCGAGCAAGGGGAAAGCAACTCTTGAAAAAGGATGAGATGCACCCCGGGGGAGGAGGAAGAGGAGGAGGGTGGAGGTCGGTGAGGTCACGTAAAGTGATGATGTGAGGTGAAGAGGAGAGAGAAGGAGGCGAGGAGGGGATCGTGGGGAGTAGATATGGAGATTTGCGAATCGGAGAGCGAGGAGCCCCGGCTGAGTTGCCAGGCCCAGGCGAGCTAAGGCTTCTAGCGACGATGGGCTGGTCCAGGGTCGCAATTGGGAAGTGTGGAAGTGCAGGTGCAGGGTAAACCGCCATGGATGGTGATGGGCGAATAGGCGGGCTGGCAGGGGTACGGAGTACGGGTACCTCACAGCAACTGGAGTTCTGGAGGACGCTACAGAAGAAGGTCAGACATGGCTTGTCATTGAAAGGAGCTTCACGTTGTAGATAGCTACTCCGTAGGTAGTATTGATTATGAGGGTGCAGAGTACCTTGAGAGAGTAAAACGGCCGGGGGAATACTTTGGAGCTGGCGGATGACGGCTTCCTCTGCTGGACTGGTGGCTCAACCATCAATGACCCCAAGTGGATGGCTCTAGACTCGAGGTAGTTGGGATGGACAGCAGCTAGTCAGATCTGCACACATGCATGCAATTGCACACAGGGGGGGGCGGCGTTTCTGGCTTGATTGTGGACTGTGGTTGCCATCGGTTGTTCATTGCCTTTGGATTGCCATTGGGTCAAACTTGTCAGTTGTTTCTGGCATATGTTCTGGGCTGCGTCGTTTCTCGCGCACCTCCATCTTCCATTTTCGGGACTTGAATTCTTTCTGCCGCGTCGTTCCGTCTTTCCTGTCAGCCGCGGCCTGCCAGTTTCTCTCTTGCTCCTTCCTCTTTCTTTCTTTCTGTTCATGTCTTACCAAGGAAAGCCATGCCACGGTCGAGGCCACCCCTGACTTGCAAGTACCTGGGTACCTTACGCTTGTACCTATCCTTCCTCCGTACCTACCTTCCATTGGGCGATTGGGTCATGCTTTGTGTGGAGACCACATGGTCCGTGGCGTCATGCAGCTCGCTGTTTCCCAGAGAGAAAAGTGGCAGGAAATACCTAGCAAAACGAAAAGGAAAGAGCCGAGAAACGAGGGAAACACACCGCGACACCTTATTGCCTTTCTCTATTGAGTCTTCACATCAACCGAGAAACAAAGTCTCTTCCTTGTGCGCTCATGGGATGAACGATGGGCAATCCATTGGCCAATTCGACCGTCCATTCAGGTCAACATGCGACATTGATTGGCCCCCTGCTTCACGCGTCCTCGACCCCCAGCTGTCGATTCTTTTCTCTTTCGGGCCTGCGCTTCTCAGTCTCCAGTCTCCAGTCTCCAGTCTCCAATCTCAGGGGCGCTGCTGTCAATCAGAGCTTCTTTGCCAGGCTGCTTGTTGCTTGTTGCTCCTAGGGACCGCCAGCCCATTTGCCCATGCCAAGTGCCTTGGCTTGGTCGGTCCCTTATCTTGCCGGAATCCCACCCCGTCCATGACTTCTCTGGCGTCTGCCGACGCATGCGGCTGTCGTTCTTGATTCTTCCATTATTCGAGGCCTCGCGGCGTCATTGTCTTCTGTCTCAAATTCCTTCGCCTTATATCTCGACTCGCCGTCTGGATCGGTCTCAAGTCAACACCAGGCGGAACAAAACTACCGCCAACTCAATCGCTTCGCCGTTTGCATTTGGCATCGCGTCCCATCTCCACCTCAGCAAGCCACCACCTCGTGGTAAAATGCCTTTCGCTCGTCACGGTGGCCTCGGCCGTCGACCGTTACCGTGTGTGGTGGGATACGAAAGTCCAACAGGCAATTACTAGCCGCAGCCACCGAAGAAAAGACGCTTAACCTGCCTTAGCGGCATTGGCGCCTCGAAAACAAGGGGCACCTCAACCATCTCCACTTCCAATGTCGCCTCGCTGCTGCTTCGGGCCATCTTCTCCAGCTTCTCTCCAGGCTGTTCCCTTGCACCAAAGGTGGCTACCGGCCCTTTTGGGACCAATTCAATGAGTCCAAATGTGATGGACATTGACCCGTCACCCATCCACCTGTCTACCAATCACCACCACCATCTGACACGGCATCTTTGCTTCTTGTCTCACTGTCGACGCTCTCCCGAATCTCGCCCGCTTCTCGCTCACTTCTTGTCCATGGACTTGGAAGTTGGTCAACCAACCAAGCCACAGCTCCCGTTTCTTTTGTCAAAAGCTCCATGACGACTGCATGCGACTTCCAGCGCTGTGTCGAGACCATTTCTTCGGCCGGGAACGTGCGTCTGTCGCCGGACTCGAGCACGGTACTTGCTCGACCGCGCATCCACGTCAATCAAACCATCAAACGGACTGACGGGCGCTGGGGCTGGCTCGTGCTCCTCATGTCATTTGGATATCCGATCTTCCATGCTCAGGACCGTGGACATATTCCATAGCCCGTACTCGAACTGAGATGGGCCACGCTCGAAGCCCATGTTGGATGGAGCTCCCAAGTTGCAGTGCACCGCAATCTTACGTATCTCCAGTGCTGCTAGCTTGCTGCTCCGTGTTCGCCTCCTGTGTAGAATGGCACGACTGGCTACCTCGGTCATTCTACGGGCGTCTTCCAACACTCATTTTCAACCCGGAGCCTATCTAGCCGTTTTGGCCCTTACCTCTAGGACCCCCAGCAGCTTTTGAGAGCACCTAGAGTCTGGACCAACATCCAACCGTGGTCCAGTAAATGATCAACCAACTGGACTGGATGAGATCAAAGAAGAGATGCGTGCGGCAGATACTCAATTCACGGTGGAAATCATCGCCGTCAAGGACCCTGGGCTACTCCAGGGTCCAATTTGCCTCGAGCCACCTGAGCTTTACACTCAAACTAATTACCCGGCCCTGGCGTTGCTGGTCAGAGCTTCTTCCCTTTAAGTTGACTGACAGTCCTCGAGAACAAAAGAAGACAATTACAGACTCTACCGCCTACAGCGCCTAGAACCCCTTCCACAACAGCATGGAATTCAATCAACAGGCGCGTCAATACTCAGTCTTCTCCCGTAGTGAGGCCTTCGGCTGGCGGCTTCTTGACCCGACTGCAGCGCTGCACGAGCATCAGCACAGCCGGTTCGCAACAGGTAATAACAAGCCAACATGATGCGCGGGCGCCAAATCGTACAGACGTTTGCTAATACTGTTTGCAATTGATCGTTTAATCATTGTTTAAGACGATGTGCATCATCACGATCGATGGTGAAGTCCACGTTCTGTATCCGATGATGTTGCATATGTAAGAGGCGTCCCTGTCAACATTTCACAGCGAATTAGTTGTCGCCATCTCAGCCGTCGTCCTGATCTTCTTCAATGAGCTGCTAATGCGGATGTGGCGGGCGGACAGGGGCTTCCGAATGTGGATGTGATGGACAGGGGTCGCGGCCGCGAAGGGTTTCAGCCGCGAATCACCAAGTCTCGATCAGATCAGCGTGGCTTTCGGCTGTTGGACGATTCGTTGCTCAAGAATGCTCCCAATTACAAGATGCATTGCACTAATATGATTTGTAACTTGGAAGGCCGGAGCTTTATGATCTTGTTGATCCCTTGGAGGATTGCCAACTAAGGTAACGTTAATGAGTGCAATTATTTCCGAGTATGAAGAAACCAGGCATGATTCTTCTCAGTAGTTCATCTGTGGTGCTCTATGCTCTACGCTAAGCGCAATGCCGCCATTTTTTTCTTACCCATAAAATAAAGCAACAAACGTTAAGAACCGTTATGAGAGAAATATTCAAGGCTCACCCTGGAAGCTCATTGAATCCGAGAAATGAGCATGATGTATGCTTCTTCCGGAAGTCTAAAATTGTACTTGTGTAATCAGCACTGGTACCGGGGTTTCGTCGGTTCTCCTCCTCCTCTATTTCACCAACATCACTTTTACTTGTCTTCTATACAGACTGTCTGGCCATTTGACCGTACACATCCCACCATGTCCGTGCCATCCTCAGTACTGCGGCTTCGAGAGAGTCGTCGGTGCTGGTTGCTGCCAGCCGCTCTTGAACACTCACGAACCTATCTCTATCGATTTGTCCTAATATTGGCCGAGATGCTATGGTGCGTAGAAACCACCAGACTGACTCATTACACCACCGGAGAGATTCCGCCAAACCCAAAGTCTCATTATAGACCAACGAAACTGTCCCTCTGTCGTCCTTCCCTAGCCTGTCAATCAAATGCGCGAGGAAGGACCAGCCAGAAATATCTGAATGGTGTCTGAAGGACCACTTCTTAACACTCTGAATCAGGGACACAAGCACGTCGAGCTCGGAAACGGCCAGAAACGTCTTTGTCAACCACCGGGCATGAGTCCATGCATAATAGTTACGAGGATGTCGTTCTCCAGCCATCATGACAACCGTCTCGACATCCTGTTGGACCACGACGGGAAGCCCGGCATCACGGTACCGCTCCGACAGCCAGCGTCGATGGTTCCACAACGTTGGTGACTTTGTGTGTCGATGCAGTCGGCTGGTGAGTAGACTATCCACGAACCACTTCTCCCGTGCTAGATTCACCTTCACGGTGTCACCCGCGGAGACCACATCGGAAAGAAGACGCTTTCTGGTGTTGGCGGCTGTGAGGTGCTCAGGGTCCATCAGAAGTAGGACGCTTGTTGCAGCTATCAGCTGCTCTCGTCCCACCGCAGAAGAATCATTGGCTTTGTGCTTCTGAAGGATTTGTCTGGCGAAGAGAAAGGCTTGAACGATGCGCAGCTTGGGAATCGCAACTGCATTCTCGTCTCGTAGAAAGATCTCGTCTGGACCCATTGGATGGCCCTGGCCTAGAATCTCGATCTCGAGGAGATTATCATCTTGCGGCTGCGCAAAAAGCCCAGAGATGTCGTTAAAGATTTTCTCGTGGTCGCCTTGTTTCAGGGCAGCTATGATGTGCTTGTTCAGAGCTCTCGACATTGCTGTATTGAAGGGTTGTTGAACAGGACCGTCTTGGCCTTGAGCATGTCTGTGAGCCTCACTACAGAACGCTCGACAAAAGTGATTTAGCGTTTTAACGGCAGCTCTTGAGTAGCGAGCCGAACCACAGGAATGGACCCAGAGCCACCTAGGTAGGTAGGTCAAGACGTTGAGGCCGTTCAAATCTTGCTCCGATGGAATGTAAACGCGGGAGTTGAAGGTGATTGGTTCTTGCTGTTGGACGAGGCGGCCAGTGGCTTACAGTGGCTAAGGTCCCCGCTAAAGATGCAATTCGCGGGGCAATGACATAGGACCACGTTTTCCCGCCCACCCAAGGGCACCCTCGAGCCCTGTCACACACCTACCTATCGACAACCGTTCAGCCTCGCACATCACAGACATGTGCCGATAGATACCGGAACCACCGCTTGCGAGTCTGTGATCTACCAAAGGGTGTCTACCATGCCCTCCCTACTCGTCATCATCCTTGTGCTGGAGGTGTTCTCCCACCTGGTCAACACCGTCGGAGCTGCAGCCATCAACAATCTGGTCAGTCTGCCTTTCACCTCCCTTTAACCTCGCGCCCTGCCGGTCACGGAAAGATCGCCGCGTTTGCTAACAGCCTAGCAGCTCTGGACAACTCTCAACTACCTCCCCATCTCGACCGCCAAGGCAGCCGCGCAGCATCGAAAGCTGCAAGCCGACTTTCTCAAGACGCGAAAGGAGCTGAATGCGACTAGCAGTCAGGATGAGTTCGCCAAGTGGGCCAAGCTCCGTCGGACGCACGACAAGCAGCTGGAGCAGCTAGAGAAGAGCAGTATGTTACACAAGGCTACGATGTGGCTTTCATGCCGGGCTATAGAGATCGTGATGGCTAACGTGTACACTTTGCCAACACGCAGAGCAAACCCAGGAAGCATCGAGATCAAAGTTCGATACCTACCTCACTGGCTTCAGATGGGCCCTCACCAAGGTCCCTCAATACGGCCTCCCCTTCTGGTTCTCCAAGGAGCCCATGTTCTGGCTGCCGTACGGCTGGTTCCCCTACTACGCCGAATGGATCCTCTCGTTCCCCAAGGCCCCAATTGGCAGCGTTAGCATCGCTTCGTGGCAGCTGGCGTGTTCGGGCATGGTCACGCTCCTCACCGAGCTCATTGTCTCGGTTGTGGGATTCGTGTTTGCGACGAAACAGAGCAAGGGACAGCCGGTCAAGGTTCCTGCGGCGTCAGGTAAGACGGCGGCGTCCAAGACCGCGGCTGGTTCGTCTGAGACGGAGAAGAAGGAGTTGTAATGCGGCTAGGCGACTGTGGGCCGCCGTGGCGAGGACCTTAGGCAAGCACATATCAAATAAAGTAAATGTCTTTGGCTCATAAGGAGTGGTTCCAACATTGTGACGCTGGAAGCCTTTGCTTTTGTCACAGGCATCATCTCGAAATTTAACAGGGGAACAAAAATACCAGAGACGCAATCAAGCAGGCAGAGGGAAATTGCAGCACTCTTAGCAAGTCATGCAGACGCTATAGCCAGTTCAAGGGTCATGGCCGCGTGCTTGTGCATATTATACAGGAAGGAAATTTTCATAGAATGTATCTCGTCTAAATTTGACGCAAAGTTCTTAATTGCAAGGCTAAGACTTTGTAACACGATCAAGAATAACCCTTGGCAGGGCATTTGGGGTTTGCTCTAGGCGTCATATTGACTTTGGTGACCATTTGAGTCCTTGCGGACGGCCAACAAAGCTTCGAAAGCGCCATCGTCACGTAGGATTGATCTCCTTGTCTTGCAAAAGAAAGAGCTGTTGGTTAGTCTGGTGTAGCAAATTGGAGCTCATGAAACAAAGCTACTGGCAATAGCAACTCTGAATCCCACAAGATGTTGCCATCTGAAGCATTCGAGTGGCAGAGCGATTTCCCAAGGGGAAACAACCTGTAATTGCAGGTATCGCTTGCTGTATCTCGTACTTTGAGCTTGATGTGAATGAAGAGGAGGGAAAGTTGAAGCGTCTGCTGTGGATATTTCGCAAAAAAATATCTGCTGGGAAGGTGCACCGCCACAGCCCACTTTCAGGTCGCGCCACACTACGAGGTTGAAAGACAGACCCATTTTCCGGATTAACCACCAGCCGAGGACCGTGCTCAGCCCCATCGTGCATTCGTCCGGGAGGCAACGACATCAACTTGGCAGCTCTGTGTTTAGTACCTGCATCGACAAGCTTAATCAACAACCCCCATCGAACGGTTCGGAGCTCCCGCCATACATCAAGATGGCGCCGGCACAGGATACCATGTTTCGCTCGGCGAACATGAGTATGGTGCAGCTGTACATTTCGAATGAAATCGGTCGCGAGGTTGTCACAGCCCTTGGAGAGCTTGGTCTTCTCCAGTTCCGAGATGTACGTCGCCAACCCCCTTCCTGGAAACTATCGAGGTCGACATGAATATCGAAGCTAACCGACCGTAATCTATTTAGCTCAATGGCGATGTCAGTGCTTTCCAGCGCACCTTTACTCAGGAGATTCGAAGACTCGACAATGTCGAACGCCAGCTGCGTACGTCATCATTCCCCCAACCGCGCATCACGAATCCTCGGGTTGGGATAGACTAACATCGAGGCAGGCTATTTCTACGCCCAGATGGAGAAGGCAGGAATCCCTCTCAGAAAGTTCGACGTCGATGCCGAAAGACTTGCCAACCCATCGACCTCCGAGATTGACGAACTCGCCGAGCGAAGCCAGAGCCTCGAGCAACGCGTCTTCCAGCTTAACGACAGCTACGAGACCTTGAAGAAGCGCGAAGTCGAGCTCACCGAGTGGCGCTGGGTTCTCCGCGAGGCTGGCGGCTTCTTTGACAGAGCCCACGGCAGCGTCGAGGAAATTCGCGCTTCCACCGATAACGATGACGCTCCTCTCCTCCAGGATGTCGAGCAGCACAACTCGGCCCCTGAGGTCGAGCGGTCCTTCTCTGGCATGAACATTGGCTTCGTGGCCGGTGTTATCAATAGGGACCGTGTTGCCTCCTTCGAACGCATTCTCTGGAGAACGCTGCGCGGAAACTTGTACATGAACCAGTCTGAGATCCCCGAGCCGCTCGTCGACCCCACCAACAACGAGGAGATCAACAAGAACGTGTTCGTCATCTTCGCCCACGGGAAGGAGATCCTGGCCAAGATTCGCAAGATCTCCGAGTCCATGGGTGCTGAGGTGTACAACGTGGACGAGAACAGCGACCTTCGTCGTGACCAGATCCACGAGGTCAACGCTCGCCTTAACGACGTTCAGAACGTTCTCCGCAACACCCAGCAAACCCTGAACGCTGAGCTCACCCAGATCTCTCAGGCATTGTCAGCTTGGATGGTCTTGGTCACCAAGGAGAAAGCCGTTTACAACACGCTTAACAACTTCTCGTACGATCGTGCTCGCAGGACTCTCATTGCCGAGGGTTGGTGCCCGACGAACGACCTGCCGCTGATTCGTTCTACGTTGCAAAACGTTACGAACCAAGCTGGACTCTCGGTGCCTTCCATCATCAACGAAATCCGCACCAACAAGACTCCGCCTACGTACATCAAGACGAACAAGTTTACTGAGGCGTTCCAAACTATTGTCAACGCTTACGGTACTCCCACTTACCAGGAGGTCAACCCGGCACTCCCTGTTATTGTTACCTTCCCCTTCCTCTTCGCTGTCATGTTCGGTGACTTTGGGCACGCCGTCATCATGGTTTCTGCCGCCCTCGCCATGATCTACTGGGAAAAGCCTCTCAAGAAGGTCACTTTCGAGTTGTTCGCTATGCTCTACTACGGAAGATACATCGCCTTGGTTATGGGTCTTTTTTCCCTCTTCACCGGTCTTATCTACAACGATGTCTTCTCCAAGTCTTTGACGCTGTTCGACAGTGCCTGGAAGTGGGATGTTCCCGACGACTACAAGCCTCCTCAGACTCTGACTGGTAAGCTCAATGACCACGGTTACCGCTACCCCTTCGGTCTGGACTGGAGATGGCATGAGACAGACAACGACCTTCTCTTCAGCAACAGTTACAAGATGAAGATGAGTATCGTTCTGGGTTGGGCCCACATGACCTACTCCCTCATCTTCGCCTACGTCAACGCCAAGCACTTCAAGAAGCCGGTGGATATCTGGGGTAACTTCGTCCCTGGCATGATCTTTTTCCAGTCCATCTTTGGCTACCTCGTCATGTGTATTCTCTACAAGTGGTCCGTCAACTGGAGCGACCCCCAGAACCCCCGCAACCCTCCTGGACTGTTGAACATGTTGATCTACATGTTCCTGCAGCCCGGCAAGCTCGAGGAAGGCGCGCAGCTCTACCCCGGACAGGCCACTGTCCAGGTCTTCCTCCTGCTATTGGCCGTCATCCAAGTCCCGATTCTGTTGTTCCTGAAGCCTTTCTGGCTCCGCTGGGAGCACAACCACGCTCGCGCCAAGGGTTATAGGGGCATTGGAGAGAGCTCTCGCGTTAGTGCCCTCGACGGCGACGATGACGAGGACAACGGACTCAACGGCCGCCCCAGCTTCGAGTCTGATGGCGAGGGCGTTGCTATGATCACGCAGGACCTGCACGGTGATGGCGAGCACGAGGAATTTGAGTTCAGCGAAGTGATGATTCACCAGATTATTCACACCATCGGTAAGGAATACGACAGCCAACACCTAACATGGAAAAAAAACTAACGATGACTACAGAATTCTGCTTGAACTGCGTTTCCCACACAGCCTCGTACCTTCGTCTCTGGGCCTTGTCACTTGCCCATCAACAACTCAGTTCCGTCCTTTGGTCCATGACCCTTGGACCTGCTCTTGGTTTCTCTGGCATCTTTGGTTCTATCGCTATCGTCGTGGTCTTCTACATGTGGTTCTTCCTGAGTAAGTTGCGATACTCCCCTCTCTTCTTAACATCTACTAACAGCACACTCAGCCATTGCCATTTTGGTCATGATGGAAGGTACCAGTGCCATGTTGCACTCCCTTCGTTTGGCTTGGGTCGAGTCCTTCTCCAAGTTCGCAGAGTTTGCCGGTTGGGCCTTCCAGCCGTTCTCTTTCACTACGACGTTAGAAGAGTCTGAAGAGCTGAAGGAGTACCTCGGTTAAGAAACTTCAGCTGGAGGTTTTCCAAGAGTGTGATTTACTGCATTTTGTTTTTCATTGTAACCTTAGTCCCTCTGTAACATAGCTCAATGCACTAGAGCATTAAGTATTTAAACGTGCTAGGCTGCCCGCGTGATTGTCGTGAGTGTGGTGGTTATACTACATGATAGCGTGTAAAACGCCGTGAAATGAACACCCTGCATCCAACATGGGAAAAAACCTCGTAGTAACTCTTAACCCCAAAGCGGGGCCGTGACCTCGGCAGCGTGCTCGCAGACACGTCTCACACGGTCGGCAAAAGCCTTGTGACTGCACTCCACCTCCAGATCCTCCAACCAGACGACAGCCTCCATCTTGTCGACCTTGATACGAATGCCCGGCACGGGGATGCCGAGCTTTATGAGGCGCTCAATCTCTGCGCGGCGCCGCGCCTCCAGCTTCTTCTCTTGCTCCGCCTCCGCGTCGTCCTCGGACACGTCCATGGACGCGTCGCTGGCGTCGTCGGACTTGATTGCCTTTGTTGTAACCGCTGCTGCTTCGTCCTCGGGCTGCGGCGGGAGACGGGGTTCGGCGACTGGGTTGACGTTGTCGGCGCCGAACTGGGCTTCGAGGAACATGAGGAAGCGCTCGAGGCGTTCTGTCGCTGGGACGTTTGCGTGGGGGTTTTTGGGGAGGGGTTTGGGGGCGTGGTCGTGGTCGTGGCTGTGGGAAGCTGCGGAGCCTGAGTACGTATAAGTGAGTGGTTAGCGAACTGTAAGAGAAACTTCTGCAGACGTGGAAATCCATAATTATCAAGTAGAAAAAGGGGGGGGGGGGCGTACGTTTTACTGCTGCGGGACTGCTCTCGATGGAGAACAGACACGCCATGACGGCGTCGGCAATACCGTCGTTGAGCATGTTGCCCTCCCACTCGAGCTCGACCTCTCCGTCGCTGCGGTACCGCACGGCGACGCAGCCCATGACCAGGTACGCGGCCACGAGGCGGGCGACTTCCTCGTCGGCCGCCTCCTCGCCCATCTCCTGGTCAACATCATCGCCTTCGCTTTTCTCGGCGCCGTTGCCGTTGCCGTTGGCGACTGCAGCACCGTCAACGGCCTTGTCGTGAGCCGGGTGACCCTTGCGCATCTCGGGGAGCTCCTCGACGCTGCCAAAGACGCCTTCGAGACCCCAGCGTACAAGGTCAACGCCGGCAGCCGTGAGGCGGAGGCGCTGCTTGCAGGTGATTGTGGTGGTGTTGAGGCCGGCGTACTCGCGCAGGTCCTCGGGCGCCATGAGGGAGAGCTTAAAGTCGTTTTGGACGAGGACGCCGGTGACGAGCTGTTGCGGCAGGGAGGTGGGGTCGGAGAGGGATGTCGGGGGAGGGATGGTGGCGAGCTTGCCGACGACTTTGGCCGTCTTGTCCTGCTTGAAGGGGATGCGGAGCTCTTCGCAGTTTTTGGGACTAAAGACCTTAACTTTTGCCGTCTTGCTTGCGTTGAGGGAGAGGAGCTTGGATTTGAGGCGCATCATGTTATGCTGTTCGCCGTGGACGAGAATCTTTGGAACGTGTCAGTCTGCTTGATTCCTTCCCCGGAGGTTTGGGGTGGGTGAGTAAGGGAGAAAGGGGTTCACTTACCACCACTGGGGCTGCGACTTCCTCGATGAACTCACGGTTCTCCGTGCCATCAACGTGAGCTGCAAAGGAGTACTCGGCAACGCTGCACCGACGGGGGATGAAGACCTTTTCGCTCTCCCCGCCGGGTCCGCGTCGGGCACCAGCTGTTGTCCGGCTCATGACGGCCTGGATCTGGTCGGGCTCCTGCATGATTTGCTTGGCCATGGTGCCCTCGACGCTGTAACCGGTGATGATAACGCCGTTCTTGTCGTTGGGGGCCCACCTCTCGAGAAGTTCTCTACTCACACCATTCTGTAGCATACCAGGACTGGCCAGCATGACACAGCCTCCGACGTCGTCGAAGCGGTCGAGGTTTTTGAGGGAGCGGATGTACTTGAAGTCCCAGGGCCCGCCCTTGCCGGATCCGTCACCGGATGCTTCGGCCTCGGCCATGCGCTCGCGGAAGAGGCGCTTGATGTTGTCGTTCATGGCGCCGACGTAGGTCTGATAAACAACCATACACTTTCTGGCGAGATTGCTGGCGTAGTAGATTGGGAACCGCTGGAAGTCTGCATGCTTGCCCCAGTACTCATCCAGGATGAGCAGAAGCTCCTGGGCTCTGCCGAGCGCAAAGACTGGCATCAGGACCCTACCTCCGCGATTAAGGATGCTGGTAATGGACTTCATCAAGGCCTGCTCGCGCTCCAGGCGGGGTACGTGGGAGGCAATGCCATAGGTCGACTCCGTGATCAGGACATCGATCTTGACGCCCTTGGGAACTTCTGCTGAGACCAAATGTCTATCTTGCTCTCGTGAGTAGTCTCCGGTAAAGAAGATTTTGAGACCCGCAATCTCGATGAGGAACATGGCAGCTCCGAGGACATGGCCAGCAGGATAGGGCGTAATGCGGATGGACGAAATGGTGTGTGTGGTGTGGTAATCAATGGCCTCGATTTGAGGGAAAGTGTTAAGATGGTCTGCCTCCGTGTAGACTGGCTGTGACGTCGGGTTGGACGAGGTATTTCCAACACGGACACTGTCTTGAATGAGCCACTTATAGATGGCCTTTGTTGGATGGGTCATGAAGACCCGGCCTCTGAAGTTAGTCTTTGATAAGACGTATGGCAATGAAGCCGCATGATCGACGTGGAAACTGCCACTTATTAGCATGTTCAACACCAAAGTGTCATACAACCAACACCAAATACTCTAGGGCGACAACGCCAAGAGCTATCACAATGGCGAGGACGACAAGGCAAGGCAGGTGGGAAGAATGAAGTCTTTGTATTGTTTCTGTGTACAAGAATGAAATAGCATAAAAGGCGTAGCAATGGGCTCCATCAGGTGCGAGAGTCGCCGAAAGGCACTCGCTATTTCTGGGCCAGAGGTATGATCCCAGATATTGGTTTCCAAGTTCGTTCACCGCCTTGCCCTGCGATCCAACAGCATTTGGGAGGGGGAAGGGGGGCTTACTGGCTGATTAGAAGTACATCAACCGTACTTAGATCGAAGTCGTCGAAGAAAGGCAGCGCTGCAAGGCCATCGTATGCTGGGTGCTGGCCAGCATCAAGCTATGGGAATGGTAGTTAGTACCTGCCTGTTCAATCAAGGAAGGAAGATTGTGCTCGTACCATCACTGTCTTGCCCTTGTATTGGATAATGTGACATGACCTGCCGACTTCGTTGCCACCTCCAAGGCAGAGAAACATCAGCTCGTCGGCAGGGTCGACCGGTTCCTCAGAAACGGTGGCGGCCATGGCCGAAGCCTTTCTCTTTGACGCCATAGCTGCAAGTGTCGCAAGTGCCGCAAGTCGCAAACAGTCGATCAATCTGTATTTGTTAATATCGCACCGATTGGTGGCGGTCAGTTCCCGATTAGATCATCTGTAGCAAACGAGTCGGCGCGAGATGGGTTGTCGGTGAGGCGGTGACAATACTGCCACAGGCTGAAGCAGAGAAGTTGAATTGCAAGTGATAGGAGATCAGCGGGCAACGCGCAGGGCCAACAGGGTCGCGTAAAAGTTGGCGGCAGCTGTCCGGTCCGCTACCAAGCTCCAGCCTAAACGCTTGGACCATGTAGCACTTGGGCGGGGACAAGGCTGCGCTATCACGTGACTTTAAATGAACGCGGTCCTCAATTCTTTCTGGCGACAGCTCCTGCTTCCATCTGCTCAGTAACCCGTCGCTCCGATCATCACCAGACGACCAACACGACAGAGCAATACACGTCCGAACGTCACGCTGTCGCCGAAACAACGTCCTGCGATTTCGACGCGATCTGGAAGTTTTGTCCTTTTGGCCGACTAGACCGGCACGTCAGATGGGCAGAGTCGCGTGAGGATTGCTCAGGCTGTCCGGCTTGCTGAGCTTCACCAGAGCGAGCGGCTTCTGACCAATCTCTCGATTCGATCGCAACCTATCTCTACTACTTGTAATAACAGCTGTCAAGATGGCGCAACCCCAGCCTCAGATGCCTCAGAGGGCGTTCTCGCCTCCTCAACCTACATCATCTCCTGCTGCGACGCAAGCCGGCTTTGCGCCTCCTCCTAATAAAAGACCGCGACTTTCCCCTGGCGCAACTCCCCAACCCGAATCGCCATATTCTACTTCACCCTACGCACCGAGCCCAGGCGCACCAGTTACTCCTTCCACCGCCACGACGTCTGCTGCATCTCCCGTCTTTCCAAACGCTCAGCAGCAGCAAGCCGCGACGCCGACCTACACGGGACCATACCAACATACAAACGGCAATACCACCCCAGCTCTTGCCCTTCCATCAGCTCCGACTCCTCCACCGCAAGTGTCAACCCCGCAGCCACCGGCGCCTCCCACTCTGCCGCAATACACCTCAGCCACTCTGGCTCTCGGCAACAATAATTCACCTAGCACACCCATCATGCAGCAGCCTTCGACTCCCGGCGCGATGGGTCCGCCTTCGAGACCTCCTGATCGACCACAAAAAGAGTACGAATACGACGTCACGGATTCGCTGGCAGGCACGGGCATCGATCTACGAGCTGAAGAGCAGTTCCTGTCCGAACTGTATGTTCCGGAATCAAGAACCGGCTTCGCTCCCTACCCCCAAGGCAACAAGGGAAGCTTCTACGGCGCGGGTCCTGCGAACCAGCCTGCTCAGCCAGCCGGCACCGATACCCAGAACCAGTTGGTAGCACAGGCGGCGGAGAAGGCATGGCAGGAATCCGCAAAGCGCCTGGCTCAGACCAGGACCATGGAGTTGAACAACGCTTTCTTGCAAGTCCCTGTTGTCTACCGAAAAGCGGAGAAGTTTGCCAGAGATCAAGGCCTGATACTCAACTTGGAGACCAAGAACAGCAACCAGCCTATGGGGCGTATGCGTCTTCCTGAAGAGTTTCCCGCGCCTACTGTGACGGTAACCACTAAGAAAGGACCGGACTCGACCATGGTGACAACAACAGGAACCTGGATACCTCAGGAGGCTTTTTTGGTCGATCAGCTAGCACTGCTGTCGCTGGCTACCAAGCAGCGTCTCAGAACGCTCATGGAAGATTCCAACCGAATTGCGAAAAACCGGCAGACTTCGTCGCATGGTGAAGTCCCGGAGGAATGGCAAGTGGCCGCTGCACCACTGAAAAGCGCGCCGGAGACGCAAACAGAGGATGGAACTCAGCAGAGTGCGACTGAGAATGGCGCCAGTCCTCGCCCGAGCGCTCAGAAACGTTCGTGTACACGTGTTCCGTGCCAATATAACATACTGACTCTTATTCAGGCCCTCTTGAGGATGCTACTTCCAGCCAGGCGAGCAAGGTGCAGAAGATATCTGCTACGAATACCATGAGTCACACAGTCCGCGAAGTAGGCAAGGCTGAGAGAGACTGGGAGGAAAGACGACTACGGAAGCGCAACGCCCGAAAGGATGGAACCGCAGAGGTCGCATCGACGCCATCACGTGCCGGATCCGTTGCGCCTGGAACTCCTGGCGGTTCGGCACCTGACTCAGAGAAGGCTATCTCAAAGAAGGAACAGAAGAAACTTGATGCTGTGAAGAAGGCAGAGGCTAGCAGCCATGCAAATCAAAACATCACGAGTAGCATGTTCGTCGGCATGCCCAAGACAGGATCGCTTTTCGGAAAGAAGAAAGGCGGCAAGTCATACTCTTGGATGACAGGCGGCAGTGGGGCCAGCACGCCGAGACTTGGCACGCCCGGAAAGGCGGGTGCCGCAGCCGCTTCGGGTCCTCCTGCTCCGGCGAACCACGCGCTTACCGTTGAGGGCCGAGCACGACTTGGCAATTGGCGAGAGGACAAGGAAAAGGGCAAAGGCATCCAAGTACGAGACTGGGTGGCAGCCCTAGAGGGTGACGAAATCGAACTGAGAGCCATGCAGGCGGCTTACGATAAGCTGGATACGTCGGAGCCCAAATAGAGGAAGGGCGATGAAAAACCAATCGAAAAGTCGAAGTCGAAACCAGTTTTGTACTTTTATTATTAGCATGGCGTTACGCAGACAGCATGGATATGGGATCGCGGTCGGTCTGCATAGTATCTTTAAGGGGGGTTTAAAATTGGGCGGCCACACCAGTCAGGCTACGAAGATGCCAGACGACCGAGCCTACATATCCAGGAGAAAGGATGGAAGGACTCTTTTCCTCAGTCGCTTGGGAGACGGGTAGTCAGAAAGATCCGCTCAGAGTCTCGTCCTCAAACAGGGGGGTTTACTGAGAATCGTCAAATACAAATCGTTTGCCAGTACACATCAGGGTTTTCACAGACTAGCCTTCCCCGAAAAATGGTTAGTGAGAGGACAACGTGAGTAAGCGACCGCTGGCAGCAAGCCCATCACGGTACGCGAGCAATGCATGTCTCGGGGCTCTCTCGGATGGCACATGGGACTCTCATTCGTCGAGGTGTACGCAAGCGGCGACCTCACTCGTGAGGTTGTAATCGAGCCGTCTGCTGAATCAGCCAGGTCCCAGCGATTCGTTCCAAATCGGTGGAAGGTGTGCAAAAGATTGTGATTGTGTGCGAGTGAAAGCGTATCTTGGACTCGTCACCTTCTTCGATGTCGTCACGTCACGGTGATGGGCTATCACATATTACCGAAGGTGAGATAGGTATTCCATTCCGATGGGATTCTGAATCTGCCTTGCTTGCTAACCCCGTATGTGCCATGCTGAGTAGCCGTTTCCGCTCCGAGAAGCTAAATCGACTCAGTGGTGGCGTCGTGGCGGAAAATTCGGCACCATGTGTTTTCCAAATACCTACCTACACTTACTTGCATAGCACCATTCACGGGCGCTTATCATCGTTTGCCTTTGACCGAAGATGGATATGGCGAGGGGGAGGCTGGGAGGCAAAGGCGGTGGACGGACAACGTGGGATGGTTGGCATCAGACATACATAACACTATTTGATTCCAACATGACTGACAAATACTCCAAGCTTGAGAGGGGAAAATTGACCCCGGGTGAGGAGGGAAAAAACGGATGACTGAAGCTTCTGCATAAGCTTCTTCTCCTTGGACCTTCTCTCATCCACACCCTTGCCCATTGTTTGCATGTTTTGGGCCTATCCGTAAGCTCATGTGGAGACAGGACCGGCAAACATGGGGCGGGGATCGCAATGTCTTGACATCGATGGCGTTCGGTTGGGGCTGCCGCTAAGACGGACGTAGAACGAGTTGGGACTGGGGGCTCTTTTTCTCTCTCTCTTCCACACACATCAAGTCTTCTCTGCCGTGTGTGTCTGCGTGTAATAACTCCGCCCAACAACTCAATTGAGATCGGCGGCAGACATGATTGGGGGCAATCAAAGACTTTTTTGAATGCAGGTCTCTTCTTGGACCTTGCTCTGATGCCTCTAATGCCCCTTTCGGAAGCGGTGCATGAGGCCTAGCGGTGAGCCGGACTGGGCTCCGGCCCATGGGATGTATCAACTCCGTGACTCCGGTCGTGGAGGAGCAAACGTTTTGGGTGGATCGCAAAGGAAGAAGCACCCAAGAGGGTACGGTACCTTACACATCACAACCCACGCCACGCTATCTATTACTTTCTTGCCTTAGCTCGGCACATCGAGCTAACCCCCGGAAGCTCCAAAGAAGGACTGGAAAGATCGAGGGGATCTCGCGCGAACTCGCTTCGCTAGGTAGGCTTACTTAGCCAAACTTGGCTTTGCTTGGGCGGCTATGTGTGCTCTGAACGCCACCATTTTTTTATGCGAGTTGCGGCCCGCTAGTGAAGTTCTAAGACGGCGTGAATTGCAATTACTTTGCTGACATCATGGGCTGCAGGTGCCAGGTGGATGGAAATGGTGCTGGTCATGGTTGAAGCTACCTTGCTGGGTGGATGGGTATGCGGGCGAGAGCAAATGAGGATTTTCCACTCGTACAATCGCCCCGTTGCGGATGGAGTTGTACCCGGAAAAATGTTGGTTTAGGACATTTCAGTTTGCCAGTATATAAGTATAACAGCCTGGCTTGGTCCACATCCCTTTGCTATTAGACATGATCAAAGACAACTCAATCTAAGACGCCCCCTTACACTCCGTCTATACAGTCTCACAACGTTCATCTTAAGCGTCGAAATGGTCAAGCTACTTTCAGCAACCCTCCCGGTTGCTTTTGCGACCCTTGCCGCGGCCAAGTCGTGTCAGAACCTCACAGTCGAAGTGTCAATCACATCACGGAACGGCGTCTTCAATGTCTCAACACCAAAGACAAACATCGATGTCACAAATATCATGCTAGGCCTGGCACAGCAGGGCAACAACTTCTCCGCAACCCATCTCACAGATGTAAGGACTCCCCCACCATCCATAGCTCATAGTACACACCAAAAGACATTACACAATGTTAACATGATTTGTCCATCGTCTAGTACGCAACAGTCGGAGGCACATACCACCTCGCCTCAACCTACTGCCAACCAGACTCCGGCCCGGGCTCCGTCCTCCAGATCCTCACCCACGGCATCGGCTTCGACAGGAGCTACTGGGACTTCCCCGCCAACAACTACAACTACAGCTACGTCGGCCCCGCCGTCGACGACTACGGCTACTCCACCTTCGCCTGGGACCGCCTCGGCATCGCCCAGTCCTCCCGCGGCGAACCCGTCAACGAGATCCAGGGCTTCCTCGAGCTTGCCGCCCTCAAAGCCTTGACTGACAAGCTCCGCGCGGGCGCCGTCCCGGGTGTTCCCTGCACATTTGACAAGTACGTCCACGTCGGCCACTCCTTCGGCTCCGTCCACTCGTACGCGCTGTCCGCCATGTACCCGGACGCCTCGGACGGTCTGGTGTTGACGGGGTTCTCCGCCAACGCCACCTTCCTCCCGGATTTCTTGCTGGGCGGGGCCTTCATCCAGGCGAACCAGATTTCCGCGCTGAGCGACTACGTTGATGGCTACTTTGCGCCTGCGTACGAGGGCGGCGCGCACATCAATTTCTTCGCGCCGGATAACTTTGACCCTGCCATCCTGACGGCGGCGTATAAGACGGGCAAGCCGGTGACTGTGGGTGAGCTGCTCACCATTGGCGGCGAGGCTGGCACGACGAGCGGGTTCAAGAAGCCTGTTCTTGTCATCACGGGTGGTAAGTCTTGAGAGCACATGCGGAAGCCTATCCAGTCGACATAGGAAGGAGATACCATTGTAAGCTAACGATTGGACCTTTCTAGAACGCGACGTTCCTTTCTGCGGTGGTGATTGTCTTGCAACTGGCAACCCTAAGCTACCTTCGATTCCGGCCGGCGTTGCACCGCTGATCAAGAATGCGAGCTCTTTTGAGGCTTATGTTGTTCCCGATGCTGGCCACGGCTTGGCATTTGTAAGTTCTCTCTCTTGTAGAGCTGAAATGATTTTGAGAAAGTTTCTAACGCATATCATGACAGAGCTACTCCCACGTCGAGGTCACCAGCAAGATCCAGGATTTCCTTGCGCAGAATGGGCTTGCCAACTAAAGGTTGGGTTCGAAATCATCTTTCGTAATTAATTGATGTTGGATTGAACCTGCTTCAGGTTTTATCTCGTAGATCTGGTCCTTCTTCTCGAGCAAAAGTCGTCCAGCGAATCAGTGCACTCTCTTTTTCACGATATCAAGACAAATAATACACATATTTAACACATTTAAATTGGACTCTGAATTCATCACTGCTCATTAAATCATTAATCTACGATGAAAGAGAGCGTACTGAGAGATGAAAATTGCCGTAACCAAGTCATCTCATATGCTACATATTACCTGCAAAGTGACGGATTATGATCATACCCGAAAGAGCCCGCTTGGCTTACCTTTTCCCCCGTCCGTATATCCGTCCTTCAAGGCACTACTCGCAAAATGACGTCGGCTTTCACTAGCCCCCGGATCCGGATCCGAACGGTTCAACGCGGTAGGATCAAACTACCGAAGTACCTACCCCAAAGTCTGACGTGAGACAACAGAAACCACACCACCACGAGAAAGCAAAACCTCATATAGGTAGTGAAGAAAGCTCCCCCCCTCTCCATTCAAATCTGAGACCAAATCTCCAAGTCCCAGACACATCCGCACCATTTGTTTTGCCCGATTGTATAGAGGTGCACCTTCTTCTGTTTCCCCCAAATATGCAGCTGTGGTCTCACAAGGCGAAACAAGACGCCCTAAACCAATCAGACGAAGAGCGGCGTCAGCAGCCCTCGTTGCGCGAGATGCTCGACAACAAGTTCAAAGAAACAGAAAGCGATCACAAGGACTCATCCGGCCCGATACCGATCATTCTATGCGGTAAGACAGAGGCGATTGGTCGCGGCGTCATCGAGGGCCTGAAGCCTGAATATGAAGGTAAGCTCCCAAGACAGCGCATTCCAACCCCCGGAATTGGACAAAAAGAAAGAAAGAAAGAGTGAGAGATCGAGTTATGAGACAGAATTGATGAGCGAGTCCTGAAGAATTGAGCTCACAATCCCCCAAATAGTAATCCACTTCATCACCACCCCGGCCTCAGGAGCCCTCATCATCCCAGCCCTCCTGACGTCTTCTCCACCGCCGCAGCACCCAGACACCAGCACAATCGGCAGCGGAAACTACGCCTCCCCGCCCCGCGCCATCGTCCTGGGCGGCGCATTCGATGAGGAGGCCGTAAAATCCCTTCAGAACGCCGTCGTCGAACAAGGGGTTGCAGCTGCGTCGAGAAAGGTTCCATGGCTGAGGCACGACGGGAGTAAAGCTGCGCCGCCTCCCGGGCCAGAGTACGGCAAGGCCATGGTCGCGAGGGTGAGGGAGAAGTTGGGGCTGTTGGAGGCGGAGGGAAAGTTGGATGGTGGGTATGGGGGTGACGAGTGGTATTAAAGGGCCTGGTGTTGGTGATGCGGCAGCTTGGTGGCAGCACAAAGGGTAGTATATGGGCTTTGAAGTGGGGGTAGGAGCATGGTGTTGTCGAGGTGAGGCCTCGCTACAGCAACAGTTCATACATAAGACACAATCATCGGGTCGATCAGGTAGATTACGATAAAGTTCATTAATCCAGACGGGTATTCCGCCATTCATGCTAAATCCCCTCTTCATGGTATCATTAAATATGTGAAGGTGAATAGAATATCCTGCTTTCTTCACGCATTCCCCCACTTCCAGCACTATACTCCCAAAACATCACTCAATCACAGTCCTCCTACGAACTGGAAGTGGAGTTGATGCTGAAGCGGTAGCTGGCCTGGAGGACGTACGGGTCACCGCCGGGCTCGTAGATCTGCTTCTTGGTGCGGCCCCAGGCGGGGTTGTTGATGCCGTCGATCCAGTCCTGGACCTCGAGCACGACGCAGCCGTACTTGGGGATGATGCGGGGGAACTTGGCGTCGTCAAAGAGACCCTGGCTCTTCTTGAGGGCCACGGAGCCGTTCTGCTGACTGCAGCTGTACATCTGGAAGGCGTCCTGGTCGGTGTAGACCTCTAGCTGGATACCGGACCACTCGGACTGCATGCGGGCGACGTAGCCCTCGGTGCGCCAGTTGTAGGGGCCCAGGTCGTTGCGGTTGACGATCCAGCAGTTGTCTATGTTTGTGTGGTTAGCTTTCATGTGTGCACTCTGCGATAAGAATTGGTCCATGCTTACCATAGCCGGTGCAGTTGAAACCGCAGTTGTTCTTGAGCTCGGGCTTGGAGAAGTCGGCACCAATCTGCTTGGGCGCGCTCCAGAAGTCGTTGACGGAGCCCTTCTCGTTGGCAAGAATCTCACCGGTGGGGATGAGAATGTTGTCAACGCCCACTCTCTGGCCATTGTAGGGCATGTGAAGGGTGTGGTTGAGAGCCAAGCTGGTCTCGTTGTTGGAGAAGCCATCGAGGTTCCAGTAGGTGTGAGAGCTGAGCATGATGGGCGTCTTCTTGGTGGTGGGGACGGCGATCATCTTGAAGTCCCAGTTCCAGCCGTTGAGGGTGTAGGTGATGAGCGACACCACTTCGCCAGGGAAACCCTCCTTTCCGTCAGGGTCGGTGAAGGAGAAGGTGATGCTGTTGTTGGTGTGGGAGACAATGGTGAAGTTGCGCCAGTCCCATCCGTCAGAGCCTCCGTGGAGGGTGTCGAGGCCATTGTTGTCGTTGAGGTCGATCTGGTATTTCTCACCGTCAATCTCAAAGGTGCCGTTCTTGATACGGTTCGCGTAGCGACCAGGGACACCGCCGAAATGGGGGTGCTGGCGATCCGTCTCGTAGTAGGTGGCGTTGTCCCAGCCAGCGACAATGTCGCGGGGGATGCCGTACTTGTCGTTGATGATGAAGTCGGAGACGGAGGCACCGTAGGGAATGAAGGCGGCCTTGATGTGTTCGCTGGAGATCCAGTACTTGCCGTCCTTGTCAGGACCCAGCGAGGAGGGAGCCGTGGTATTACCACCGGATCCGCCAACGAACTGGGCGAGGGAGGTGGCCGGGGCGAGCAGAGCTCCGACGGCGACAGGGAGGAATGTTGAGCGCATCGTGTAGGTGTGCCAGGCAAGGTAACAGAGGATTGAAGCACAAAGGACGGCGGACCAGAACAGAGGATGATGACGGGAGGACGGACAGCAGAGCCTGTGAGAGGGGAAGGTGGGATGAAGCGGGAGCTTATATCCCAATGGCAATGGTGCTCCTCCCCTCATGCGGGAGGAGCGGAGAGACTTGCACATGGCAGTAAGAATGGGACGATTCTGATCATCGGACCAACGAAGCTACGTTATGCAGCTCGAGGATGGCAGAGCAGGGCCGCAGAGTGCAGAGAACCAGCTCCACTCTACTCTGGGGTGAGGGGGATGACGGGTCGGGGAGAGGTACACCGTATCCCGGACGCGTGGGAAGAAGAGAAGGACGAGGGCAGAAAGAAGCAGTAGCAAGGGCCGATCAACGGATTGGATGCGACGGCATGATGTTACTGGAGCGTCTAGACGAACATGTGGTGGTGGAATCCTTTCGCTTGTCTGGTGTCTGGTGCTTGGTGGTTGGCCCCGGCAAGAAGACAAACAAAACAAGCTGGGCCGAGCTAAGGACTGACTAGCTAGCTAGTCGTAGCGTGAGAAAGCTTTTTCTTTCGCGGTCAATGGCAAGTAACGTTGGGCGAGCCGAGATGCAGGAAGCCGGGGTATGAGCGTGCGGAGCAAGTCCCAAGGTAGGCGTATCCGTGTAAGGTAGCTAGCTAGGTAATCCAATTGCTCATGAATTGAGGTGAGGTGCAGGGGAGCCAGCTCCGGACAAGCAGCAGGGCAGGGCGAGGCTGGGCCGACGGCGAGGTCGAGAATGGCGGCGATGATACCCTCTCCAATGGGACGAGCGGGGTACAATTGGCGCGTGGTTGGCTACCTTTGGTGCTTGGGTAGCTTTCAGGAACAGGGCCGGCTAGGACAATGGGCCAAAAGTTCCTTCTGGGATTGGTGGGTTGGATTGACGTTCCAACAGCAATGAGGAAGAAAAGACACAAAGTCCGGGGTATGGTTGCCGGACCGGACGCGATGACGACGTTGGGACGTTGGGACCTTGGGAAAAACTTGGGGGAAGAGGAGAGATTCCCCATGGTCCATAGATGCCGGGGGGTGGGGAGTTGGGGAGAGAGAATGGAGAAACAGGGGACGGCTCGGTGTCGGGAAAGGCGTTTATGCGTGTTTCATTGGCGCGCGTGCGCATTATCCCGATGACCCGAGTACGGTACAAGGTATTCTGCAGTTTCTACGGATGTGGATGGCTTCTTGGTCTTGATCACGCTGGGCTGCGAACGGTTCAAGTTTGCCGGAGAAATTGAGGTGCGGGGTTTTAGTGCCACTTCCCCAGATGTTTCTCCCTGCTTCCCCGCTCTGCGCCACTCGATATCCAACTTCTCCTCTCTGATCAAAGTCAAGCTTTTTCTGGCCGATGCTGCAGCTGCACCAACAATCCGTCACGAGTTGCCTGGCAAGGTCAGGATATCCCGTAGCACCATATTTGTAGGCACGCAGGTCACAGGCTGCCTCCGCGATGGCATTTCCGAGGCACCTCCTCCCTTCCGTCAACTCTGAACTATCCACAAGTCCAAACCTATCTTCGTTGTTATTGTGATCAATTGTAGTTCCTCTGACGACGAAGAGTGAGGTTGACTACCTATAATCAAAATATATGGCTACAATTCATTTTTCCCATCCTCGTGGGTCTTTCTTCCCTAGATAATATAGAGACCCCATGGTCATATCAATATAAAAAGTCTAAACGAACAGTTCGCAATTTTGCCGTAAAAAAGATCAAATGAACTAAACAATGCCATTTGCGCAACCGGCTCTGATTGGCACGCATCGTCCACACCACCCCGGGAAGCAATTTTGGCCTAAAGCAAGCCACACACACACATATCACACACACACACACATCTGCCAACCTCCTGGGACACCCCCGGACTGCAGAACCAAAAGTCAGCTGTGTGGCACGTGGAGCTGGAGCTGTCACAACTACTTGTGATGCAATGTTCTATGCGGATATCTCAAAGAAAGATGTTTTGTACACCCAATCTTTGAAAACATGCAAGCCACAGTCGACATCTTGAACAAGCGACTTCACAGGAACTTGGCCAGGCCCATCCATAGACTAGACTATGTATTCTCCGTGAGCCTACTGCTGCAGCTTGAGGCTAGCAACTTCTTGCGTCGCTTATACGGTCTACCTTGGCGTAATTAGTTCTCTGTTCTCTCTCGTATCCAGTCAGTCTGTAGCTCAAATTCTGTCCCATAAAGTCGTTCTCAGTTATAATTTGAACGGATCAAGGTGAAAACAAGCCATCTCAGCTCATAAGCGACGTACGTCTCATCGAAGCCTACCATTTGTCGGCGCCAAAGCTGTCTGTCACATTCAAGTAGCCTCCCCCTCGGTACCACCATCCTCCGAACCAGAACTTCGGGTCGCTGAATCTTGAAAACCCCAAGTGAGATGCAAGCGGGGTTTCATTCTGACAGACTTCCCCCAAGCCACGTGGCGAGTGGTTCAGCGCGGCTCCAGCTTGTCTTTCTGTCGCCCGAATGGGTGGCCACTTCGTGTGGCAACTATCAATGCTGCCATGTCACTTGCGAACCATTCATTCGGTAACTCCATTCGACGACCGGATCACACGGTATCTAGGGAGGTCGGACAGCTATTGGAGCTCATGGCGAAGTAGGATCTGTTGGCCGTCTTTTTGCGGCCGTGGTCTCCACAAAATCTGCGCCGGACATGAGCTCGATGCCGTTATCTGCAACGAACTTGTGCGGTGCACTTGGTCAGCTGACCATGATTCGAGCAGTGCATGAAGTGGAAATGGTCTGGCTTTTCGAGGCGGTCAAACCAAGACTAGATGAATAGTCCAGTACTGGCGAGAATGACATTGACGCTCGCTGGACTTGCTACTAGGTATGATAAGCGTCTTCCCATCCAAGATCTGCCACGGTATGTCCTTAGTGTCTCTCTTCGGTGTCAACTTTGTAGCGGCACAAGGCGGTGCTTTCACCACGTTGGTTGACTACCGATCAATTAGGTAGTACTTTCCCCAAAGCTCTCTCTCATGTACACACTGCAGTAGCTTATGTTGACTTGACGGTGAATACGTTTCTTCCTCTCATATCTTCTTGGCAGCAGAGATCGTAAGGAGGAGATTAAATCCAACGTTAATTACCCGGACCCAAGGTGGGGAAGAAACGACCTCTTACATTTATATTGACTACCGTTACGCTACAGAACCGCACTACAGATGTTTTGGGCGAGTAGCTACTCGTTCCCTTAGAGCAAAGCTCAAGTTGGCCTCTGACGCACGCAAACCCTCCCCTCTTCCGAGTAAGCAGGTTAGTCGATCTTAGTATCACCGAAGACGAGTCGGAAAGACACATTCGAATTTCAACGGCACTGTTCAACGGGTGATCCATGAGACCACCTCTACTGTCATCCTCACAACTGGAGTTCGTACATTCTCAGACGTTGGGGCCTATGCCCTTCAGAGAAGGGAGACGGTCTCCGCGAGCCGTCTATTCTGTACTAGTAAACATCCTTCATGTCTTTTTTGAGTCTCTAGATCTTGGTGTACACGTCAGCGTGGGAAGCCTTTCGGCCGATACGAAGCTCAAAAACCCGGTATTGGCCTGTGTACTTTATGTATGTTGACGGGGGAAGTTGTGGGGATAGCCCGCGATTCCCCCGCGGAGTGTAAGACTCATATGTAAGTGGAAGGCCCGTTGTCGTGGCCCTTGATGCCTTCCAATGACCTCTTTTCGGCCCTCATATCGCAACACAAGAGGATGACCCTTCGTTGAGGTTGAGACAAGGATGATCAAGCGAGCAGAAAACCAGAATGACAGAGTACATTGGCGGAGTATAGACAAGGTAGTTCCAGAGCACCTAGCAAGAAACTCTCGCAAATGTAATGACAGGTCATTACGGTGCGTATTTCAAGCCAACTTTCAGTAAGCAGATTGCAGATTGAAGTTGCAGACGGACAAATGTAACAGATAGACACCATATCACGGCTTGGCTCCCTCAAGAGAGTGCTTCATCCACCGTCTCATGACCAGTGGAAGATATGCAACGGGGAATCTACCCAAAACAATATGAATTATAGGTACGAGAGATGTGAGAACCTTGCTTACTCTCAGCTATCGAACGAAATAACCCTGCCAGAATCAGGTCATGATCAAGGAGCCAGCCAAGGCACCGTTCGATCGTGTGGGTTGTCTCTGCAGAAAAACTTTCACTTGTACTCATAATCGTCAAGAGCTTCCTTTCCGCTTTATTGAGAGCTTGTTCAGCTGCCAGCTGAATTAAGGCACCGTAATAACAAATCTATTCTTGTTGCTACGGCGCTGAATGTGGATTTCAGATGAGCATTCATCATTGAAGAAGTTTCTGCACATTGCAATTGGACGGCTTACTTTGATATGGCGTCTTTCTATAATGGATTCTGTTGACAAATCTGCGACGTCTCGTTGCTCTTCTATCGAAGTATTATTTAAATGCCGTTTACCCTGTGGAACAGGTCGGGATCCAAGTACGAATTGACCTACACCGTCTTCTATCGAAGATGACTTCATGTCCTCTTCCCTAGATCACGGAAATGAGGTTGACGTGCTTCTTCGGCCGAAAGAAAAGCAAGTCGTAAGCCATTTTACCAGACTATGAAACCACGGCTTCGCGTTTTCTATGGACCGACCGAGCTTCATCATCCAGAAGCACTTGTGGAAGATTCCATGCGATCATTTCCTTTCCTAGGGACTTTGTTTCAGACAGCTGGCGAACTATACGATTCCTTTGAAGTTCAGTTGATCAATCAATCACTTGAGCGGCTCATCTCGTCAAAACTAGGAATCTATATGAGATATTTGAAGGCATACACTCAATACTCTCGTCTACCTTTGTCATAACTACCTGATGATTATGCAAAATGAAACGTGAAAAGATGAGTATATCTTCCTTTTCTTCATTGGTACACCTTGTTTAGACATCTCGACTCGACTCTATAACAAGACATTGACATATGTATAGATATTGGAACCAACGGAACCAGGCTCTCACTAACAGCCACTTTCACCTATCCGTAGCTTGCTCATCCTGCGATGGCCCCAACGGTCACATCACAGCGGCTATAGAGATTTACTTCCTGGGCGGGCTATCACAACCTCTAATTCATCTCATGTTCGTCGAAGCATAGAACCCCCCCCCCCTTCAAGTCCAAGTCCGCCAACCGCCTATATCATGCCAGACCTTCACCAGCATCCATTCACATGATAGCAATGTGGGCAGCCTTTGTGCCTATGGACTGAAACTGATGATGAACAACTAATTGTCGTTAACAGTGTAATCAGGTGGTTGTAGACGAGTCCAGTTCATAAAAGCTCATAAGCCATCCCAGATGAGGCAGATTCTCCCGTCCAACGTGTGACTACACGCGTATGGCACAACGTACATCTATGTATCTATATATCCTGGTTCTTCTTCTCCGCAGACGTTCATCCACATTCACCCTATGTCTGAAGGCTTAACCCCGCTTCTCTAGCATAGGGCTGCTCCTTACGATGCATTTCAAGAACATCGCAAGTAGAACACTAGCTGGGGTAGGGTGAAGGTGAGGATATGTTCAAATCCTCTGTTGGGCTAATTTACTCGGTAGATACAGGTTTTAGGGTCTTGATTTGCGAAAGATAGATGCCATATTCCAAGGATTCGGTATCCAAGTCTTTCGAAAAGCAAGACATTCAACCCACATCCTGTGAACCAACTCAAGGCTGATTTTTGTTCCATTGAGGTAATTCAGAGATGTACTGTCACACACGCCAATGGTATCTGAAAATTGCCTTCTGAATTTCCTATTCTAGGCAGTAGACGTCGAAACACACAAGGAGTCACACCACGATTTGTCCACTGGGTGGTTGGCGGCGGTGGGTACGGTGGTCACCAGTAACGGGGGGAAGGTCAGATTGAGCCGGCCGGCGACGAACTCGTATGTGGACTCACAGCCGAGGGATATGACGACAAGCTCGGTTCTTTCTTTTCTCCATCCATCGAAGCGAGTGCTTGAGAATCGGGCATGCTCAG